GTTTCTCACAGTTTTCTTTTCTTCTCTGTCAAATCACTGTGCAGTATGCTTTTGGATGAGTATAGAACGAGACAGCTTATCTCTTACGCAAACGGAGAACAACTTCCTGAGCGCCGAAGTTTTGCTGTAGAGAAGGTCTTACTAACAAACTAGGAAGAATGATTTTTGAGCATATCTTAAGCCTGGCCACTTTTCAATCCCAAATTCATGAAGATAGTTTTCTTTGAGATCAGTTAATTGGCCAGTTGAGAATGTTTATCTTTCGTCTTTTTATCAATACATCGGTTTCGGTAACTGTTTGCAGCAAGTATGGGTTTTAGGGTTTTTTGAGTCGGCACAGTAAGAACTATATAAATTTCTTATCTTATAACAAGGGAATGAATCAAATTTCTTTCGGTGGATAGACCTGTCCGCAGATTTATCATTATGTCTAGTGAGACACATATCCTTTGTCCACGATAAATCATAAGGATGAATGGCAGTTATTTAAGTAAAGTAAAATAGCATCAAGTACTGCTTTCTTATTGTAAATAACCTATTTCGTTGTCTTTTCATCCTCCACAGCTATCAAAGCAACCAGTGGTTTGACAAAAATGAGTGTTTTCAAATTTTGACATAACAGTAAATGTGCAGAAGATGTCAGATTTGTTAGGCTTCAAAGATGTATGTGGACAGGGGACTTTCTGGGTTCAATCGCTCACCAACATCAGCTAACTAAACCACACTTTTGAAACTTTGCAACCTTTTAGTTTGTATTATACGAAATGACTGACCTGTCCTGTCAGTCGTATTGCCTATTCTACATTTTCGATTCATAAATTTACAATAATTTCAGTGGAACAGATTCAAGAGTGTCATTGGACCAATTAGCTTGTAGATAGGAATGTATTATCACTTAGTATAGCTGACTGCACCCGACATTATTGTTATTATTATTCGTATCATGGATTCCGAGTGAAACATGGGGCTGCAGTAGCACACCTCCATTGTACTCTATTCTGGGCAGACTTAAACAAATACACATTTAGAGGAAAGAAAGCACCACTGACACGGAAACATTCACTGTGAGGAAAGCGGTGAAACCAGGTAAATAACACTATACCCATGGTGAAAGAAGTATGGGAATATTGGACAGGTTGGGGAAAGATTAAGGCAAGATTTGACTTCGGGGAGAGAATAGGGTTAGATTTAGTGTAAGTTACCGACAGACTAGGCTTACGTCTAAGTATGAAAATCAAATTCACCTTCCTAGGAAAGTCTACCGTCCCAAGTTCATCGATGCATTCATTTCCCTTGGGTATTAAGTTCTTCCTCTTCTTTCCAGCCATTCTGAACTGGCTCTGCGACTGTCGAGAAGCTTTCATCTCCCATTTGTATGATCTTTTTCACTTCACCCTTAGATCCACACCAAACTTATTACCCACCTCTTATTTAGGATTCACTCAAGGGTATGCCAAGTATGCGTTATCACTTCACAGTTTCTCCAGTGTATATCCAGTCCACCTCCGATTCCTTTTGCATATTTGTTGGGTTCTGTACATTGCCAGGGTTCCTTGTCACTTGCTTATTCTTCCCGGCCAGCTTTCAAAACGATTTCAACTCTTTAAAATGACTGACTTTCAACAGGACTGTTTAGTTTTTATTAAACCAAAATTTTAAATATCACCGCTAAGTAGCTGTGATTTATGCATGGTAATAGGGGAACAATTAAAAAAACTACAAACTGTAAAGTTAGAAGTTATATTAAAGTGAAAAAAGGACCTTTTAATATCCAGGAAATAAGGTGTTCTTTACCTTGTAATTAAAGATTACATAATCTGTAATAATAATGATAATAACAACACCAAGGGAAGTAATCATGTCTATCACAACAGCTAATTTCCTCTCTTCATGAGAGTAAATAAAGCGTAGCCAGGAAAAATTACATGATTTGTGAAACATGCACGACACTCGAACAGAACACAATTTTGTTCAGTTTGATACAGAACAGGAAGTAAAACTTTATGTAATAAAAAAGACGGTGGAGGGAATTACACACGGAAACGGTGTATTAAAATGTTTGCAGCATTCGATTTTTTTTATCATAACTGAAGTCTTTTTGTTTTCCATGAATTCCTATGTCTACATAGCCCGTCGTACATTGAGGCCTTTTTTCCCCTGTTATTTGTACATTTTAAGCCTCTGACATGTGTTCACTCTATCCGTTTACTTGCAGTTGGTGTTCACCACTGTTTACCTCAACCCACATGTACACAAATACACATCACATGAATCCCTCTTCAATGGCATTTAAGTCTTCTGCTTTTTTTCAAACTAAACTTCCCTTCATTCTGGTTATTTTGTTAAAGATGCATTCGTGAGAATAACATGGTAAAAGGGGGGGGGAGGATGATTTCCTTGTTACTATGATAATAGTATTAGTAAAGAAAGAAGATCACGCATCAACTGGGATACTGTACAAACTAATATTGTGGCGTATGCTACTAACAAGATTTATCAGTAGTATATAAAGAAACGTACATCGGCACAAAAATATCAAATATTGGAGTGATAGACTTGACGTCAGAGAGCGTAAATGAACCAGTGTTGTGGCAAAACATGGAAGGCATGAAAAGAAGACAAAGAAACACAATACGAAAGGCAGAAGTGGCACAACATAGAAGATCTGTGCAAATGGTGATTTTCAGATAAGGTATACACAGTTTGATATAAGTATAAAACTTAGCCACTGTGGTAAATTATAAATCCACTATAGATAGGATTTTACTTTGATAAATCACACAGTGTTGTACAGTAATAATAACTGATGACCACGTTTCAAGCACAAACTATTGCCACTCATAATCATATCGAGTCACTACTCACACAACCTTTCACTTCAATTATATACATGAGTGAAATTGATGAGACATTTGAATAAAATCAGTATGGGATAATGTACATTCAGAAATAATAATATGAGTGTTATCAATCAAATATAGTCAGATGGGAAATAAGATGAGTGTTTTTATAGTCAAAATGAGTAACTTGTTAGAATGTTATAATGTATATGAATTGAGATAGAATTGTAAGATTGTTTATTATCCTCTTCTGATTTGACTGACTGGTGGTAATGATATCTTCCATATCTCTGGTATTTGCATTGAGTCATTTCTGTTGCATGTTTTGTGTTGGGGGTAGATACAATGAACCAGGATTCAGTAATCAATGTCTCTCTCCACCGACCTAGATTACTTCTCATAATTTTAACTCTCTCCCACCCTATTGTGTGGTTGTGTGTTAGTGCATGCAGTGCAATTGCTGAGCTTTTTTCTAAATTACTTATCTTCTCGGGGTCAACCATTCTTACCTTAGCTAAATTCTTATGTTCCGACAATCTGAATACCCCAAACCTACTAGTTTGACCTATGTAGTTGACTTAACCCACAGTCATTGCAAGGTATTTTGTAAATTATATTATTTTGTTTAATTGGGTCCACCGGGTCTTTTACCCTACAGAGCTTGTCTCTGAGTGAGTTTTTAGGTTAGAATGCCACCCTAATTACTGCTTTATTACGAATCCTACGTAGGGTCTCGGATGTCCCCTCCTTATATGGTATAACAGTAGATGCCTTATATTCTTTCTTATCTATGTTATCATTATTTGTTTCCGAATTATTTTTATTTTGCTTTTGACCTTTTCTGATCCTTACTTCGGTGCAGACTGAATTCTATCAGTCAGGTTTGCAATATGGCCACCATTCTAGGTAGCTCACCATCATGATGCATATTGATTTGATGATATTAGATAGTTGGAGGCAATCGGCAGGAAGCCTTCCATCTAGGTTTGGTGCCATTTGGCTCTCACCAGTCAGCAAGGCGTATCTGCAATCTTGTAGGAACTCATGTCTCTTCTGAGATTCAAATCCGCGTCACCACTAAGTGCTGCAGTCAGAGACCAGACACATCGCACTAGTTACTAGTATCCAATCTAAGTATAACAATGGGTTTGTTTCAAAGAGTATTGTCAATACAATTTGGAAATTTTATTATGTTGCAGAGTATAAAATCCAATGTTCTCTTGACATATCATCGTGAAGGGAAAAACAAAAATAACAATTATTACACAGCTTAAATGATGTTTACACTTATGAGAAAATAAACACACAAAAACGTGAGAGGATTGTAAGGGTAAGAAGAATAATAACACTAGAGCTTGGGGGAATGAGGGTGGAGAAAATTTTTTGTTTACTAATGAAAATAAGGTTAGTTAGTTAGTTCGTGTCTGACACTATTTCCGTCACATAAAATATGTGCCAAATATGGTATAGTGGAGCTTTTATACTTAGACGTAGGTGAATAAAGTCTTTTGAAATAACTTCTTGTTTTACCTGAGGAGACACAGTGTGGTGGAGAACTGCGAAAGCCCACTTCAAACTGGAGTCAGCAATGATAATGTTTTCTAGCAAGATAGTGAAAGGTACGTAGTTAAAGCATACAACCGAAGGAATACAGTGACGCCAAGAATATTGACCTGAGCAATGAATCACCACTGAGTGAATCAAAATCATGATACTTCCTTAGAGAATATTTCACTAATAAACTCAATGTTATTATTATTAGAGTTATTATTCTCATTTTGTACTTTGCATATTTTTGACTTTATTCCTACCGTAAACGTGGACAAATTTCTGTGGTTAATTTTTCTTTATATTTTGAATAAATTAAATACAATATTGTAACAAATGCTGAGAATTCCATTCTATATTACAAATACTATTTTTGTGAATAAAGCAGATTGTTATTATCATTATTAGTGTCCTTAGTGGTGTTCACGTTATTTCTCAGACACTTTTCTAAACTTTTTTGTTCACTTGTATTGGTATGGCTTATTTTCTTGACTTGTGGTGTGTCGTTTTGTCAATATATTTCATGCTACATTTGACTACCGATGAAATAATTCATTCTAAAAATTTTAAAAAATAAACACTCTGTCTCTTATTCGTTTTTTTTATAAACAGCTGATCAATCGATAAGGAATTCTTCGATTCCACAAGTTAAACAAATTTGGATGAATCCAGCGAAATTGTACGGGACAATAGAATCACCAAATTATCCATTAGTATATCCACAAAATATGAAACTTTTATTTATTATTAATATTCCTGAAGGAAAATCACTTCAGTTGAAATTTCTGGATTTTAATCTTGGCGATCAGATACCGAATACAAAGTAAGTTGGGTAACACATTGTTTGTTACATTTTTTGAGATATTTTTTTAATTTAGCGAAAATATCATTCAGACATCTATAAAAGAACAAAATACTTGAGCAAAGAATATCCTTTTCGATAATTTACTCTTCTGGCTCTACAATTATATATATGTTTATATACATAGAATATTCTAGATTAGTAGTCAATAACAATATTAGTGTTTTTTTAAATAATATCGATTTGTAAAGTAAGATCAATGGAATTACAGTTCATTAAAGATGCTTAAATCATAATAATAGTAAAAATATAATAGCAAATAGAATATCAACTAAAATTAGGGAAATTTTTACAAAAATCGACGATCATTAAAACCTAGATGGCCAAGGCAAGGATAATGTCTGAACTAGCTTCTTTTGAACGCATAAATTAGTCTTCTTAATGTGGATCCCAACGGCCAGCCTCAGTAATATTTGGTAATCAAACTGTTAAGGCGAAGTTAAGATTTGTTGGTATGCGGTAAATGACTCTGAAAGCCTGGTTAACGTCAATCTTGTGTTCTGTATCCACAAGATGAGATAGAATAGCGGTGCGAATAGATTTTGTTTGTCCTTCACTTAACTAGGCAGCAGGGTGATGTTTGGAAATTCGACGATAAACACGCCTAATTGTACGGCCTATATAACTGGCTCACTCCACAGGAACAGTTAAATTGGTATATACACATGGAAGAGGTGAAATTAGGCAGTTTGTCTTTTACTCCCAAACGCTGGCTGATTTAATTCCGAAGCTTTTGTTGCCTTTCAATACAACATCTTCAGTGCAAACTTCAATATGAAGTGGACTTATATGACTTCTCCATGAATCATAGAACTGTATCTTCTGGCAACCATTGTTGTGACTAAAATGTCTTAATTTACGTCTTTACTGATTGTTTCTGTTGACTTGGAATGTGAACTTTTTCGTCTTGTTGTCCATTCTTTATTACTTGCAAAAATTTGATCTCTAGAAATGTGTCTGTTGATCGTTGATTTTTCTGAGTACCAGACTTCTAGAAGTTGCTTGGCATTTGTGGTGTGTACCTATCTAAATTAACAACCAATCACAATAAAGGTTTAGATAAAGCAATAAGAAGACGTAATTTGTCTGAATCGTGTAATGTATTTGCGCAACACATTTCGAACAATCTGATCACACACGGACTTGTCATAGGAATATATATGAAATTAATAAATAGGTAAGAGGGGAGAAAATAGACTTAGGTCAAGTTAAAAGGACATACTCAAGGTCAAAATAACAATGTAGGTCACTAAACCGAATAGCAGAGGTAATAGTACATCTGCTATAGTATCAAATCAAAACTTACCAAGGAAGGTTTAATGTGATGACGAATTGTTTTTGAACGCATAAAGGTGGTTTAAACTTTCTAATTGCCAGCTAGGGCTTCCACAAACTTTAGGATACACCCCAAACACGTTGTATAGATAGGTTTAAAAGATCTGTTAACTTGCAAGTATTGGTTTTGTAGGGATTTGGTTTGATTGCATGGAGGGTTTCATCATGAGCTGACATCAGTTAGAGAACCACTGTACTCCCAGCTGGTTTTCCAGTGGTTCTCTAACTGATGTCAGCTCATGATGAAACCCTCCATGAGATCTGTTAACGTCAATTTTATGTCCTCTCTCTAAAATATGTTTCGCAATAGAGGAGCTAGGTTACCTGTTCTCGCCAATAATGGGTTCTGAAGATTCCATTTGTTTCTGGAGCCATTTAGGAATATGCTCTGAAGCCAGCCTTTACTTGCAGAGATCGATGAGTCCTCCCTATGTATGTGTGTCCACACGTACATTCAAATTGGTAAATAAGGAGCTACAGTTATATCAAATAAATTTACTACGCAGTGAAACTTACTCTGAAGATGTTCTGTCTAGAAGGACAACGAAAGCTTCGCAAACTAAAACACCCATCTCAGAGAACGCAACTCCATCAAAATCATCCACCTAACGGACAAATCTTCTCTCTGTTATTTTGAATTTGAACTCATCGTTTATTTTATTTTCCTTGAATGCTTTGTTTTCACCTTTTCTTTTTCATCAAAAAACAACTCATTTTACACAGATGCTCACAAGATGCTGGTGATCGTATAGAGATTTATGAACAAAATTATTCACATAATCACCAATCAAAAATGATATTTTGTGGTAAATCAATATCTGAAAAACAAAAAACTCTAATCATTAACAATAATAACAATCAATATGAAATGAAACGTGTATATATCCAGTTTATAACAGATGATATAATAACATCAAATGAACGTGGTTTTATTCTATCCTATAAATATATTGATCAAAACCACATGCTCCTACCATCGACATCTTCGTCATCAGCAGTTCTGTACAACTCTAATTATTATCCTACTCAGAATAAATACAATCTTGTCCGCAAAGATTTATCAGATGAGACAAGCGAAATGAGATTGACTGATGCTGGTGAGTAATTTGAATATTTGTTTATTCTAATTTGTGTTGTTCTCTTCGTTGTCTTATTCTCTGATCCAAAAAGTTGGCTCCAACGATAAGGCAACATCATTTGGCGTTTCAATGAAAACCTTAGAGTACTGGACAACCATTTCGTCCTAGTTTGTGATAACGAAGGATTAAAATCAGGACCTTTTGGGTTATGAGTCCGGGCCGTTAACCAGAGTTTAGTGGTAGTGCTGAGTTGCAAGTTGACGGGAGTTAGAATTGAAGAACTGTTGGATTCCTTCCCAATCGTTGAATGGTATATATGATAACCTAGCAACCTAGAAGCCCTAAGTTCGATTTCCGGTGAATTCATTTGTGTTCTGTGATAAGGAGTCTCAGACTGGCAAATAACAACTATCCATAACTCCGTAATTTTCAATGACTCTCTGACCAATGTCCTTTTGTGACGAAATATACTCTAAAATTAATCCCAGCTCCTATAAAGTATGATGATAATAAATTTCTCAATTAAACCATCTTACAGGATTTCATCATGAGCTGACATTGGTTAGAGAACCATTGGAAAACCACCACTGGAGTACTGGACAGCTGTTACGTCAGCCTAGTTTAGGACTCTTCAGCAGTACGCACCCACCGCCAGGGTTCGAACCCAGGACCTTCTGGTTACAAGGCGAGCTAGCTCATAGACCATTAGGCCACTGGAACCCAATCCAATGGCCAGCCCATGAATTCTAACTTCTGCCAATTCACGATATAGCGCAACCACTAGCCAATGACTTCGGCTTGAACATCAATGAGATGCTCACTGGCGACTGGCTCTATTTAGGTATGTAGTTACCTGGGGTTCCAGTGGGAAGTCGTGACCAGTAGGGTGCAGCAGGTTGGGTGTGACGACAAAAACTCGCCGAAGACAATGTCTTGGGGTCGCGCTATATCGTGAATTGGCAGAAGTTAGAATTCATGGGCTGGCCATTGGATTGGGTTCCAGTGGCTTAATGGTCTATGAGCTAGCTCGCCTTGTAACCAGAAGGTCCTGGGTTCGAACCCTGGCGGTGGGTGCGTACTGATGAAGAGTCCTAAACTAGGCTGACGTAACAGCTGTCCAGTACTCCAGTTGTGGTTTTCCAATGGTTCTCTAACCAATGTCAGCTCATGATGAAATCCTGTAACCAATCAACCAAATCCCTACAAACCAATACTTGAATAAACCATCTTAGTTGGGAAAATCAAACCTGAACAAGTCTCAGATCATCTTTTTGAGGTGTACACATTATTGCTAATTAATTCTAGATCCTTTGATTGTTAGTTCAGCGGTTGATATTCGAAGTCTTGTTGCGATACACTATATATGTTTTCGGTAACATCAGTTTTATATTACGATTTAATGTTAGGAAGTCAGCTTATTGTTGCTGACACTGGTCACCGTTGCATATTTGCAACTATTAAAGAAAATCATGTGGGTTCTACTAATCAAAACCTGAGTCATCCAGTGTCACAGTGAGAGACTCTGTTGCTGAGCTACTTAGGCTATAAATAACAAGGTGTAGAAATGTACCATGGAAATCATGCTTTTCCAACAGCTATTTTGACAGTCCAGTAGTAGATGGTCTTGGATAGCCAATGAACAAGTGTTCTATGCGATTACTAAACTGTTTTTTATTGTGTTTCTTTATGTTCCCAGTGAAACATACCGCTTCAAGCTAGAGGCTTGAAGTTTGCGTAGCAGTGGCCTTTGTTTTAACGGGATGGGGTCTCTAACCTCATGCCCAACCTTTCCCCTCTACCAGCCTTATTACTGGCTTAGCGAGGGGATCGAACGCCGGACCACATGCGTAGTCGGAGAGCATTCTACTGTTGTGCCACCGACGCACCCTAGCAGTAGAGTAGAGGACAGAAAATCGTATTCATTCAGGAGCCTCCAGTACGCTGTGCAGCAGATGACTTTTGTAGCCTGCTAGTCTAGTAAATTTTGCAGTGATATTTCAGAAAGTTTTTGACAGTGAAGTAATTCCGAAACTGCTTCAGCACTACAGAGTGCGACGGAATTTTATCAAACTCATTCAACAGCTTCATACTGACAAGGACACATGTCAGGTGATCCACAACGGAGAACTCAGCAAAGCGTTTGAAGTGAATACAGGAGTAAGACAAGGCTGTCTACTATCACCAGTGACATTTTCTAACTCTTGTGGACTGGATCATGCGACATATAGCAAGGAGCGAGAAGACAGGAATATGTTGCGCTGACAAGAAGAATCTAGAAGTTATGAAGTTCGCGGAGCGGACTATTTATGTCCAGTGTTACACAAACTCAAAGAAAGACCTGTAGGCGAAAACCGAAAATGTGGCAGAAGAAGCAGGCAGCAAAGACAGGGTTTCAAGTGAATATAGATAAGACTGAGGTGATGAAGAGATACCTAACCAACAACAGAAAGCCGAATGGGAATAGACGAGTTGGATTTGAGTTAGGGGGTGATATGGAGGAGATCGTATGAGAAGGAAATGAAAGCATGTAGGCGGTGATGGAGCCAGCTAAACAGGACCACAGACAGCAGGACTAAGTGGAGATGTACTATTCCAACCCTATTTTCCACTAAGGACCTAAAAAAATAACGATGGTAGTTTGAAATTATGACTTCTGGTTTTGAGTTCTCGTGGTAAGGTTACCAATCAGTGGGAAACGGGACGGATTCCACTGGTAGCCATCGCGAAAATAGTGAAACTTTAGACTTTTTCATTATTCAATAGAATTTTAACGTTTGAAAAAGCTTGCTTACAACTTACACATGAATACACTCTCACCAAGATTTGATGAACTGAAGGATTAAATCAGTCGCCTTGTATTTAAAAAAAATTAGATAAAAACTTTAAGAAACGTCAAGCTTCCAACAAAAAATAATCAGGGAAATCCACACTTCGTACACGTAATCACACTATGCATGACAACTCAAACTTCTGACGACTACAGATTGAACGTCAAAAAAATAATGTAAAAATCATGTGTCACAGATGAAAATCTTAAGTTGGTCTCTTATAGTCTCTTCAACTCCTGGATATTCCATAAACTTAGCTAACAGTTAAGCATACATGGCTTCAACCAATATAAACTTCGTGGTTCAATGATTATCTGATAAATATGGTACATATATGATGTTGAGTATATTCCAGACATGTATGCACACACACGCACACTCACAAGCAGACATTGAAAGACTTTGTACATGTGAGTAGTAAGTATACTCATATTACCTTCTTCCTCCTTTTCCTTCATCCCTCCACTGACACAACTACCACCACCTTCCTTCAGCTTACACTATCCTATGAACAATGTCACAGGAGAATATTTTAAACACGCAACAATTTCATGTTTTTTTTGTGCATTTTGTTCATTTTAGTCAACAGAGAAAACTACAACGATTCGTATGAAAAAATTCTCAAAAAAATGTGATAAAATTCTGTTATAAAATTGAGATTAAAACTTTGTCTTTTTTCAGTCAACCACACTCCCCTAAGACTACTACTACTACTATGACTACCCTCCGTTCACAAAAAAATTTAATATTGATTGTACCTCTTCACTCATTCAACGCATATATATATCCACACATAAATCAGATGAAAAGAAATTTTTCTAGGAATTGGAAGATTCCAGTAAGGGAATTTGAAGACGACGAATTTTATTTTATAAACTAATCTGATTTTGCAAAATATTTGTTTGTTTTTTTGTGTGTGACTGTAATGCATTGTCTATCTGTGTTAGACGATGTAAAAACAACAACAACTAATAAATTAAGAATACTCAGCGGGTATACATTTATCAGATGACTGAGCACGATTTTATATATATTAAATTTAAATTCTGTCGTGTTTTCTACAAGCAGTATTAGACTTGTCGTCCTTCATAACTTAACATCTGAGTAATAGCGAATGAAGTGAAGTGGTTCAATGGTGGTAGGTAGAATGTTTGCCAACCCATGCATGGAAGTGGTTCCCCTCTCAACCTTCCTTAGCTGGTAAGAAGCATGAGGAAGAAGGAAGATTGAGTGTAAGGCTTGCCACGTCATCGCTTTAAGAAAATAACATTATCGCTAATGAAACCTCAAGTATCAAAGCTTGCATCTCTTTATGTTCCACTAGGAATGTAATTAGAATGAAAGAAATAGATAAGATGAATGGAATGAATGAATACAAGAGGCTTAGAATTGTTGATTCACGATACATGCTCTCTTTCACTGTGATAGGAAATTATATTCTTATTATTATTCATTTGGGTATGGAGGGGAATATACGGCTTCAACAGCACACCTCCACTTTGTCTAAATCCCTGAGGTTCCTTTTAGTTGGCCGCCCGATTGTCCTTAGACTCTCATCCCCCCTTATACGTCCAAATCGTTGATTCACATTCGAGTTCTACCTCAGAGATGGCCTGACTTGCTATGGGATTCGATGGCCTCCTCAGCATGTGTCCAACCATCTCCATTTTCTGTGGTGTGTCTGTTGGACAAAGCATTCTTAGATAGTTTACTGCCAGAGTTTCTTGTCGCCACTCCTTTCTGGTTGTCCATATGATTTTCAGTATGGAGTCGGCGAAGGCAGCTGCGGATAAAAGTCTGCAACCTGTTAGAAATACTTTTCATGACGCGTTAGTGTTTGTGACCCATATAGAAGCACTAACTGACTTAACATTGGTGTCGAAAATCTGAATCTTGTTTTTTATGCTGAGTGCAGAAGATTTTCAAACTGACCTCATCAACAGCTACCTTTGACCCATTTTGAAAGTCAGATAGCCTTTTAGAAATAATTAGCAACAAGAAACTATGGCAACGAACGAACTAAGAATGTTTTGCTCAACAGATACTCTGAAAAAAAAGGAGATGGATTGCTGAGGAGACCGTCGAATCACATCGTAAGTCAGGCCATCGATGGGATGGAACCCGAATGGGAAACAATGAGTTGGGCGTTGTTCAGAGGCGGACATTGAGGAGATCGCATAAAGAGTGGAT